GCAACTTCGTTGGTTTATATATTCTTCAAATTTTCTGTATTTGTTAATTAGTTCTAAAAGTTTTTTAAATAATTACTATAATGTCATCTATAGTTTTCTATAGATAATGTCATCTGTGTATAGACAGTTTTATTTCTGCAGTTCCTATTTAGATGACCTTTTTCTTGCCTAACTTCTCTGGCAAGAACTTACAGTACCATCTTGAATTGAAGTGGTAAAAATGGGCATCCTGCCCTAGCTGGTTTGTCTCAGTGGATAAAGAGTCAGCCTGAGACCAAAGGATTCTAGGGTTTGATTCAGGTCAAGGGCACATGCAGGGGTTGTGGGATCAATCCCCAGTAGGGGATGTGTAGGAGGCCAGCGATCAATAGTTCTTTCATTATCTATGTTTCTCTCTCTCTCCCTCTCTGGAAAAAAAAAAAAAAAAAAAAAAAAAAAAAAGTGGGGGCATCCTTGCCTTGTCTCTGACTTCAGGGGAAAAATTTCAACCTTTCACCACTTAGTAAATTAATTTCGGGCTTTTCACATGTAATCTGGTTATCACCTTGAAGTTGTTACATTCTAGTCTTTTTTTTTTTTAATTCTCACCAGAGGATGTCTGTGGACTTTGTCTGACAAAGAAAAAATAAGAAACATCAATTGATTGCCTCCTGTTATGTGCCCCAGATGAAACCTGCAACCTAAGTATGTGCCCTGACTGGGAATTGGACCCACAACCTTTTGGTTTAATGGACAATGCCCCAACCCACGCAGGGCTCCATTCTAAGTATATATAAATATGGATTTCATATAGAACACATTTATATATAAATATATAAAATGGATTTCAGAGAGGAAGGGAATTGAGCATGCAACCTAAGCATGTGCCATTGACTAGAATTGAACCCAAGACCCTTCAGTATGCAGGCTGATGCTTTCTTTCCATTGAGCCAAACCAACCAGGATATTTTTTTGTGTTGAATGTTTCCATCATGATAACATTGTATTTTGTTAAATGCTTTATCTGCATCCAGATGTCTTTTTAAATTCTATTAATGGTTATCCATTTTATTAATATCTAATAAAATGTTTCAATTAGAACCAGAGAAGGGAACAAAAGACAAAAACAAAACAAAAAACTAAAAATGGGGGAATGAAAAATATCTCAATGCATCTCTATTAATCATTTTAAATATCAATGATCTAAACATACTGATTAATCAACAGAATGAGGACAAACCAAAAACTGGGGAAAATATTTGCAAAAGATTTATCTGATAAAGAAATGTCATCTAAAATATAAAAAGAACTCTTAAAACTTAATAAGCCTGGCTGAACAGTTCAGTTGGTTACAGTGTTGTCCAGATATGACAAGGTCTTGGGTTTGACCCCTGGTCAGGGCACATGTAATAATCAACCAATGAATGCATAAATGAGTGTAGTGTAACAACGAATTGATGTTTTAATTTCTCTTCCTCTCTCTCTCAAAGCAATCAAAGAAAAAAAAATTTTAAACATATTATAAAAGATTACTAACCTTCAAAAATAAAAAATAAAATAAGTGAATAACCAGGTTAAAAACAAGTGGGTAAAAGACCTGAATTGACACTTCACCGAAGATATACAGATGACAAAGCATATTAAAAGCTGGACCACATAATATGTAATTAGCAAATTGCAAATTATAATAAGACACCATTACACACCTATTAGAATGGCTAAAATCCAAATCACTAACTCTAATTCATCACTGGTGGCAATTCAGAACGGTACAGCTACTTTGAAAGAAAGTTTGGCAGTTTCTCATTAAGCTGAATCTGCCAGGAACCACACGAGTCGTGTTAAGGGATCCCACATAAATCCTCTTAACATAAGATCTAAAAATCATGCTCCTTGGTATCTACCCAAATAAGTTGAATATGTATGTCCACAAAAGCCTGAACACAAATGTTTACAGCAGTTTTATCCATAATAACCAAAATTTAGAAGCAACCAAGATGACCTTCAATATGTGAATGGATAAACACATTATGGTACACCCAGACAATTGAATATTTAGTGCCAAAAAGAAGTGGGCTATCAAGCTGTGAAAAGACATGGAGAAACCTTAAATGCATATTGTTGTGAAAGAATTGACTATGAAAAGGCTATCGTATGATTCCAACTGTATGACATTTTGGAAAAGGCAAAGGTATGGATACAGTAAAAATATCAGGTGGTCAGGGATAGGGAACAGAAAAGTCAAATAGGAGTACAGAATTTTTAGGGCAGTGAAACTATTTTTGTATGATTTTATAATAGTGTGTACATCTCGCCGAAACCGGTTTGGCTCAGTGGATAGAGCGTCGGTCTGCGGACTCAAGGTCCCAGGTTCGATTCCGGTCAAGGGCATGTACCATAGTTGCAGGCACATCCCTAGTAGGGGGTGTGCAGGAGGCAGCTCGATATATCTCTCTCATCAGTGTTTCTAGCTCTCTATCCCTCTCTCTTCCTCTCTGTAAAAAATCAATAAAATACATATATTAAAAAAAAATAGTGTGTACATCTCTATACATCTGTCAAAACTCATAGAATATAAAACACAAAGAGTGAACCCAAATGTCAATTATGGGCTTTCATTGATAATGATGGGTCAATATAAGTTCAACAAATTTACCATTCTTGGGGGGAGAAACCAAGATGGAGGCATAGGGTAGACACCCAAATGCAGCCTACCACAACAAATTTGAATTTAGAACTGAAAAACAGGGGAAACATTGCCCTGAAGCACCAGACGGCTGGCTGAGAGGAGGCTCTACCATCTGGGAAGGAGAGAGAAGGCTCGCTGAACCTCAGGAACTGTGAAGGTACAGAGAACTGTGCGCGCATAAAGGTGGCCGCCCGACTTCGCTGCCGACTTGCTTGCGAAGCGCAGAGAGGGCGGGCTGAGTTCACTACTGTCTTACTCCTGGCGCGCGGAGAGGGCTGACAGCTAATGAGCGGCTGGCTTTCTTGTTCAGGAGGAAAATAGAACCACCCTATTGCGCTGATAGACGGCCCCAGACAGGGAGAGGCCAGACTGTCAGGCAGTGGGCAGAGATCTCTCCGAGGTGAAGCCAGTGGCCATTACTGCGGGAATCAGAAACCAGACCCTCATAGCGAGGAGCTGAGTAAAGCTTGTCTGCACCACCTGAGACTCTGCCCCATCCAAGCAGAGCACAGAAGCCCTTCTAGTGGCTAGCTTTCTCTTTCGCAGTGAATGGGACTCTCCTAGGGAATCTAAACTTTGTTTGCGCCTATACCAAAGAGGTGTGCCTGCCTGCAACCAACTGTGCGGGATTCAACAAAGCTTGTCTGTGCCACCCCGAGACTCCGCCCCATTCAAGTGGAATATAGAAACCCTTCTAGCTGAGGCACTTATGACCCTCATAGCCAATTGGCTTGGAGATCAACGCTTCCCAGTGATACCAACAACAATTAAGACAAAACAACAAGCTGAAGCCGCTTTGGCTCAGTGGAAGAGCGTCAGCCAGGGGACTGAAAGGTCCCAGGTTCGATTCCGGTCAAGGGCATGTACATTAGTTGCAGGCACATCCCCAGTGGGGGATGTGCAAGAGGCAGCTGGTTGATGTTTCTCTCTCATCCACGTTTCGAACTCTCTATCCCTCTCAATTCCTCTCTGTGTAAAATCAATAAAATAAAATAAAAAAATAAAAAGACTTAACAAGACTGCACACACAGCCCACAAAGGGCTACACCACGACTGTCCACCTCAGGTAACTGGGAGACTGACTCACTGAACCATATAGGACACCTTAGCACACAAAGCCACCCTATCAACTCAGGCAAGCTGTGAAAATGCTGAGACAAGGAAACAGATCACAAACAAAAGAAATGGAGGAAAAGAAGCAACTGGATATAGAGTTCAAAACCACACTTATAAGGTTTTTCAAGAATTTCCTAGAAAAGGCCAATAAAATAAATGAGACCTATGAGGATATGAAAAGGGATCAACTAGAAATAAAGAATACATTGTCTGAAATAAAAAATATTATACAGAGTCCTAAAAACAGAATGGAAGATCACAAGAATCAAGTCAAAGATTTGGAACACAAAAAGCCAGAGGACATTCCTCCACAGAAGCAAGAAGATATGAGAATCCATATAGTGTAAGAAACCTCTGAAACAACTTCAAATGAACCAACATCAGAATTATTGGGGTCCCAGAAGAAGAGAGAGAGCAAGATACCAAAAGAATACTGGAAGAAATAGTGACAGAAAACTTTCCCCACCTGGTGAAAGAATTAGACTTACAATCCAGGAAGCGCACAGAACCCCAAACAAAAGGAATCCAAAGAGGATCACACCAAGACACATCATAATTAAAATTCCAAGAGCAAAAGACAAAGAGAGAATATTAAAAGCAGCAAGAGCAAAGCATGTAGCTACCTGTAAAGGAGCACCCATACGATTGTCAGCTGATTTCTCAACAGAAACCATGCAGGCCAGATGGGAATGGCAAGAAATATTCAAGGTGATGAATAGCAAGAACCTACAGCCAAAAATACTCTACCCAGCAAAGCTATCACTCAGAATCGAAGACCAGATAAAGAGTTCAGAAATTAAAAAAAGCTAAAGGAGTTCATCACTGCCAAACCAGAATTATATGAATTGCTGAAAGAGGTTCTTTAGGAAGAAGATAAAGATAAAAATTATAATCAACAAATACATAACTATCAACAAGTGAATCTAAAAACCAAGGGAATTAAAAAAAATCTGATAGATAATATTAACTGGTGAATATAATAGAATCAGAGGTATGGAAGGGGAGTGGACTGACTATTCTTGGGGGAAAAAGGGGAGTTGGGGGTGTGGGAAGAGACTGAACAAAAACTGTGCACCTATGGATGAGGACAGTGGGGGGTGGGGAAAGGGCAGAGGGTGGGGTGGGAACCTGGTGGAGGGGAGCAATGGAGGGGGGAAAAATGAGGAACATTTGTAATAATATGAACAATAAAGATTTATTTAAAAAAAATTACCATTCTGGTGCAGGGTGTTGGATAGTAATTGGGAAATTGGGCGGGGGAAGGTGACACAACAGAATTTGGGAACTCTTTCTGCTCAATTTTTCCAAACACCTTAAAACTGCTTTACAATTCTATTAATTAAAACAAAACTATATTTTACATAGCTGAACACTTGAAGAAGCAGTGACAGTCATTTTTTGGTAAACCTCCAATACAGAGTCCAAACATTTACATCCATTCTCAAGGCATCAGGAATGCTGAGGGTGTCCAAGGCAGAGCACACAATCAATGGGACACAAGTTAACTTAGTTGTGAGCTCTCCACCATGTCTTCTGTATTGGGAGTGTTCAAAGCAGGTTACCTTCTCCTCATTTTACCTAATTTCTCCATCATCTTTTTATTCCTAGAAAACAAGTGAGAAAAGAATTTTCAAAAACTTAGAATAAGATAACCATTCCATACCAATTCCTTGGAAATGAGCAATAAAATAAGGAATCTACTTCTGGAGTTCCTAAGTAGTTAGCACCTGCATCTTCACCTAAAAATGGTAGATGAAAGAATTCTGTCTTAAAGAAACAAGATTGACCATTTAATATCAAGCCTCACATTCTGTATTCTACAATTGGTTCCACTTCCTTTATCTTTATACTGTCCCTTCCTTCCCCAGTTTCTTTCACATCCCCTCTCTGTTCACACCATGCTCATGATTTTCACATTAGAAAATACAAAGAAAAAAGAAAGGAAAGAAGAAATGTAGTAAAAAAGGAAGCACACTTGATCTTATTATTTCAGCTAACTGCTATTTCCTCACTCAGGTGGTGCAGATTATCAGTATGCCACATGCTCTAACTTGTCATATCACATTTCTGCATATATATATACTGACCCTCTTAACCTACTCTCAGAAAAAGGCACCAATTATATCCTAAACTGACATTCTCAACAGTACTGTGGCTGTGGCCTATGTGGCACAATTGGTTGGAACACTGTCCCATGTACCAAAGGGTTTGATTCCCAATAGGGAAGCATATCCAGGTTGCAGTTCCATCCCAGGTCCGGGCATGTGCAGGAGGCAACCAATCGATGTTTCTCTCTCTCTCTTTCCCTCCCTTCCTCTGACATGAATTAAAAAAGCAAGCAAACAAAAAACCAGCACTGCATTATTCATAATCTTAGATGGCCATCTCACTGCTAACCATATTCTTTAGAAACTGCCCATTGCTTCTTTTTTTTTTTTAATTTGTTTCCCAACCTATAAACAGTCCTTCTACAATCTCTATTATTCACCTGCCATCAAAGTACTGATTCTCTTTAAGGTTCTTTCCTATGTCCCTTTTAATTCCTTCATACTCTTATGTATGATTTAAATGCTAATGGCTTCCCAAAATATGTCTCTATAAAATCACCCTGATCTCGGGCCTCTAGGCCTATGTCAAGTGTGTCCCACATGTCATATTCTTCACCACTGAATAAGCTAGCACCCTTCCTTTTAACTCCTTTATCTCTTAAATTTATCCCATTCCTCTTTAAATTTTTTGGCAAGTTTATAAATTATATCTTTTCAGAATTATTCATCTCTTATTGACCCTCCAACCTAGTTTTTGTTGCAAGATTACAACCCACTTACAATCCACGTCCTTAAAAAAGCCTTGGCTTCCCTTGACACCCATCTTACATCAACACCACCCAAACTATCACCAAAAGCTGTTACTAATGGGTGAACATTAAGAATTCTATAGTCTGCCGAAACCGGTTTAGCTCAGTGGTGGAGCGTCGGTCTGCGGACTGAAGGGTCCCGGGTTCGATTCCGGTCGGGGGCATGTACGTTGGTTGCGGGCACATCCCCGGTGGGGGGTGTGCAGGAGGCGGCTGGTCGATGTTTCTCTCTCATCAACGTTTCTGGTTCTCTATCTCTCTCCCTTCCTCTCTGTAAAAAAAATCAATAAAATATATTGAAGAAAAAAAAAAAGAGTTCTATAGTCTGAAAAAATAAACAGCTAAAAAACAGTTCTATAGTCTATAGAAAATCTAAACCAGTGCTTGTGTATGCCTAATGCATATTTTCCTGAACAGTGGTTTTATAATTATAATAATATTCTCAAAGGACTGCATGTCCCAAAAGTGACTGAGAAATTATAACCCACTAGATACTGAGGCCATCATTACAGAAAGAAACCCATCAGTGGTCTACCACTCCCTTTCCAGACTTATTTGTCAAAATAGCTTCAATCATATTGACCTATCTGCTATTTCTAAGTATGTCATGTTCTTTTACTTCCAGTTATTTGTATGGGCTGTTTCCACTATCAAATGTCCAAATTATTATTTCCCAACTGATAAGATCTTCCTCAGTGCATATAATCTTTTCTGAAGTTTCCCTAAGTTACTCCATTTATTCCGCAGCATCTCTCTCTCTTTTTTAATTTAAATTTTCTATTGTTTAAAGTATTACACAAGTCTCCCTTTTCCCCCATGCTACATGGATTTTGCCTAATTTTTTTAACCCCGGCTAAATACCTGACATATTTTTAAAAATATATATTTTATTGATTTTTTACAGAGAGGAAGAGAGAGGGATATAGAGTTAGAAACATAGATGAGAGAGAGTCATCGATCAGCTGCCTCTTGCACACCCCTACCGGGGATGTGCCCACAACCAAGGTACATGCCCTTGACCGGAATCGAACCTAGGACCTTTCAGTACGCAGACCGACGCTCTATCCACTGAACCAAACTAGTTTCGGCTAAATACCTGACATATTAAGAACTTTATTTCTTAAAATAGATCTCTAAACCTGAGGAAATTAATATTCTAACTTGTCACATACTTTAAGATTGCTAAAAAGCTACACTTATCTGAGTTCCAATTAGAACTCAGATAAATGTGGCTTTTTAGCAATCTTAAAGTTCTTTTTCCTTCCTAGGTTCGTCTGATCTATTAGGCAAATTAAGAAAACAGTATGTTTGACCATTTGCTTTCTCATACCAGTTAGATATACAGAAAAAAATATTTAAGAGTTACCTCTTAACACAATCAGGGCATAACATGTTATCTTCTAGATCTGGAGATGGGAAAGAACAGGCCGGTAAAAGTAAGAGAGAAATCATCTTCGTGGGAGTGTCAGGCACCCAGGTCTGACCTGCATGGAACTGCAGGCGAACCCAACCCTTCTTGTCTGCCAGGAGTTGTTTGCCATGGACCACACACCACCTGACACCTGGGGAAGAAAGAGAAGCAAATGTAAACAGTGAAGAGCAAGTAATGGCACCCCAATCCAACCTCTCAGCAATTCGCTCTTGACTTGGCTCTTATTTTCTGTTGATGGATCAATTGAATGAGAAGCATGAAAAAAATGTAGAACAAAAGACATTATACTCTAACTTCACAGATTATATAGCATGAGGGATAACAGTTACATTTTTAAATGCTTGCTACGTGGTCTGCATGTATTCATAAATTTATTAAGAACATTTATATTTACCTTCTATTCACTTTTCTTATTTAAAATGAAGTAACTGAAGCTTGCAGTGTTAAATATTATAATTTTCTCAGAACCAAGCCATGGATCCAGGTATTGATTCACAACCCATTTGTCTTACTACGTCATTCTACTGCTTCAAATATAAAAAAAACAGGCAAGCCAAAACCGGTTTGGATCAATGGATAGAGAGTCGGCTTGGGGACTGAAGGGACCCGGGTTCGATTCCGGTCAAGGGCATGTACCTTGGTTGCGGGCATATTCCCAGTAGGGGGTGTGCAAGAGGCAGCTGATCGATGACTCTCTCATTGATGTTTCTAGCTCTATATCTCTCTCCCTTCCTCTCTGTACAAAATCAATAAAATATATTAAAAAAAAAAAAAAAAAAAAAAAAAAAACACAGGCAAAAAGATCTTTGTTGAGAGCCTAAGGAACAATCTAATTGGGGAGAGGGATATTTAAGACAAAACAAGGTAAGATATCAAGTGTTTGAAATTGAGAAAGAAGCAGTCACCATGAGCTCAAATATTCATAAAAAACTCCTTAGTCAGACTGTAAAATAATAGAGATTATGTTTAGCACTATATACCCAGTGATTAGGGACACTCTTGGATCATAGCAGATGTTTAATAACTGCTAAATAGAGAGGTACTACTGCCCTAGCTGGTTTGGCTCAGTGGATAGAGCATCGGCCTGCAGATGTTTCTATCTCTCCCTCTCCCTTCCTTTCTGAAATCAATAATATATGTATATATGTATTTTGAAAATAGAGAGAATGCCAAAACTGGTTTGGCTCAGTGGATAGAGCGTCGGCCTGCGGACTGAAAGTTCCCAGGTTTGATTCCGGTCAAGGGCATGCACCTTGGTTGCGGGCACATCCCCAGTGAGGGGTGTGCAAGAGGCAGCTGGTTGATGATTCTCTCTCATTGATGTTTCTAGCTCTCTATCCTTCTCTCTTCCTCTCTGTAAAAAAATCAATAAAATATATATTTTTTAAAATAGGGAGATACTAAAAGGATGAATAAGTGTGCAATGCTACTAGGTCATGTGGCACATTAATGAAAATTAGAAAGGTGTCATTGCTGGGTAAGCAGTCCTTCAGAGACAGCTATGTTAATGGGCAGTGCTTTTGGAAATTAGCAAAATGATGCTCATTTCTTTTCATAGGAGGGAGTGTGACTTGGAGAGCAGACAGTAGGTCAATTTCAGTTTCTGTCTGTCTTCCTTTTGGTTGGGTTTCTTGTGTAATGAGCAACATGTCTTTCAAGTCAGCCCTGGATAAAAGAGGAGCCAGAACACTTTTGGAAACGATGTGGAGAGAAAAAGAACTCAAGCAAAAAAGAATAGAGGGATTTTAGCTGACCTGAGGTAGGTTCAGCTAGAGAAGAAAAAACTATCAAGGAGAGAGAAAGGCAGGGCTAAGTTATTCTCAAGATTTCTTAAGAGGACAGAGACCCCAAACTTTTCTTATTGCCTGCTTTTTAATGTGCCAAGTTATATCTCATAAGTCTCACAATCATTCTATGAAATACAATAGTTGATACCAGGGCTTGTGCTAACTTGCCAAAGTGACATACCAAAAAAGTCATAAAACAAAAATCTGGCCTGGGCGCTCTCCCTCCTGGGATCATGCCTGTGTCTTTTTCTTTCCCTTTCCGCTCCCTCTCCCCCCTCTCCCCCCAGGCATATTACCATTAGCTCCCTCACTCCCAAGCTCCAAAGGCCCTTCCTTTACCTCTAACTTGTTTCCAAAGCCCAATTCTTCTAGAAGTTATTTTTCTACCTCTGTAATTTACCCAATAATTGTTCTCTTACAAAAAAAAAACAAAAAACAAACTTGTCTAACTGGCATAGCTCAGTGGTTGAGCATCGACCTATGAACCAGGAGGTGATAGGTTTGATTCAGTTAGGACACATGCCCAGGTTTTGGGCTTGATCCCCCAGGGTGGGCTCATGCAAAAGGCAGCGGACCAATGATTTTCACTCATCACTGATGTTTCTTTCTCTTTCCCTTCCTTCACTTCTGAAATAAATAAAAATATCTTAAAAAAAAAAAAAAAAAGAATCTGAACCAAGGCTGTTCAAATCACCACATTATGCTATGAAGAAAGCCTTGAGGAAAAGGAGAGAAAAAGAGGTTGGCCCTAGCTGGTTTGGCTCAGTGGACAGAGCATGGACCTGAGTTGAAGGGTCCTGGGTCTGATTCTGGCCAAGGGCACATGCCTGGGATCCCCTGTGGGGGGCATGCAGGAAGCAGTGGATCAATGATTCTCTCTCATCATTGATGTTTCTCTCCCTCTCCTTTCCTCGCTGAAATCAATAAAAATATGTTTAAAAAATAGAAGACCTCAGGCTGTGGCTGACCGCATTATCAGATTATGCTTTTTCCCCCCTCCACCTTGTACTTTTGCTTTGTGATCAGAAAGGGTCAACACTTTATCACCTGGCTTAGAAATTCATCCAGAAAAACTTGACTATCAATCAAAAGATAAGTTTTCTATGAATCTAATACCCAATCTACAGATATTTTAACTCTTTTCCTTCTACCACCTTTCAGTATTGGACTATTGAAAGTTAACCTTCTTCCTCTTGTATGGCACTTACTATTTAAAGTTGATCTTACCAGATGTTTGCAGCAGAAAATTCTCCACAGAAATAGGAATTTTATATGAATTTGCAGCCTTAGACAGCGAGCCTCTTGCAGCAATTCTTGACCATGCTGCCAACATGGCCTCACGAGCTGAAGTTATCACTTCAACTGTATTGGTCACTTCAACTGTATTGGCCACTTCAACAGTACTGGCCACTTCAACTGTACTGGCCACTTCAACTGTATTGGCCACTTCAATTGTACTGATCATTTCAACTGCTTGAGTCTCTTCCTCTCTTTTACTCATCTGAGGACTTTTCTTACTCCTTGCTCTCTTGGTCAATTTCCCCGAACATGACTGCAATGTGTCCTCTTCTGGTGTTTCAGCATCACTCTGCAAATGGGATTCATGATGAGTATTCTGTGAAATGCTACTACCATAATGACTTCTATGTCAATTTTATCATTCTTTATATATTTAACCAAGTAGGTCAGCATGGAAAAGGTTTAGGAATATTAGTTCCTTTAGAGTAGTGTTTCTCAAATGGAAGAAATCACTGATTGCTAAAACTGTGAAGGAGGAAGCATTGCGACTAACATCAAGTGGACAGAGGCCAGGGATGTTTAGTCTGCTAAACATCCTAAAATACACAGGACAGCCTCCAAACAAACAGAACTTATTTGGCTCAAAATGTCAATAGTCTTGGTTGAGAAATCTTGCTTTAGAGCAAGCAAGGTTGAGGAACCTTTTTTTTTTGACCAGTGACCATTTGAATATTTGTAACATCATTTGCTTAATATAATTCACTTAATATAAATTCATGTTGCTATGAAACAAGCTTTTAGACAACCTGCAGTTGTCTTGCCATGGCCAGATGAAATGATTTCATGTGCCTTAGATGGCTGGACATTCCTCACCCCTATGTTAGAGGAACAACATATGAAGAGATGCTGGGAGAGGAGGAACAATTCACAGTCAGAACTCACATTTACACTGCATCCATGCTTCCCATTCACTCGTTTTTTTTCAAAATAAGCATGTTCCCTGAGCCTCAGATAAACCTCTATTTTCTAAGGAAATTAAGGAGAGAAAAAGCAAAGTTAGCAAGACTTTGAATATTTGCTCTGAGCAGCAGAAATTCTCACCAATGTACTCACCTTACCATTGGTACTCAAATTCAGTTGTTGGCACCAGTTCTGCAAAGTTTCGCGACGTACTCTATTAAATGATGGCAATTTGGTCGGCAAGGGAAGGACTGGTTTTGGGCAACCTTTGAATTGTTCATTCATTTGAGGAAGATAAACTGAGAAAAGAAGAAAACCAAAGTAGTAATAATTTAAAATTTGTAAAATTCTTTGTAATTTTACCTTACAAGTTCTCATTTATTTCTTAACAACCCAATTTATGCAGATAGGTACCAAATATTTTTTTCTCATATTACAAATAAGATAACAGATTCAAGAATAAATGACTTGACCTAACTGGTTTGGCTCAGTGGATAGACTGTTGGCCTACGGGCTCAAGGGTCCTAGGTTTGATTTCAGTCAAGGCAGGCACATACCCAATGGGAAGTGTGCAGGAGGCAGCTGATTGATGTTTCTTTCTCAGTGATGTTTCTAACTCTCTATCCCTCTCCCATCTTCCCTGTAAGAAAACAATAACATAAATATTTTTTAAAAAGGCCCTAGTTGTTTTGGCTCAGTGGATAGAGCATTGTACTACAGACCACAAGATCATGGGTTTGATTCTGGTCAAGGGCCCCTTGCCTGGGTGGAGAGCTTGATCCCCATTGGGGGGCATGCAGGAGGCAGCTGATCAGTGATCTCCTCTCATCATTGGTGTTTCTGTCTCTCTCTCACTCTTCCTTCTTCTCTGAAATTAATGAAAATAAAAAAATAAAAAGAATAAAGGTCTTATCCAATACCACATATCCAATAATATGAGAAACTTGGGACTCAAATGTTCATTTTGATATTCAAAATTCCATGTTTTTAAAATATATTTTTTAAATTGATTTCAGAGAGAAAGGGAGAGGGAGAGAGAGAAACATCAATGATGAGAGGGAATCATTGATCAGCTGCCTTCTGCATGCCCCCCTCTTGGGATGAAGCCCAAAACCCAGGAATATGCCCTGACTGACTGGGAATTGAATAGTGACCTCCTGGTTCATAAGTAGATACTCAACCACTGAACCACACCGGCTGGGCTCCATGCTTTTTATACTAACATAGCAACCTGTTGTGTTTATGGCCATCAAACCACCCGAATAGAACATTTTGGATAACTCCTCCACAATGTCTAGATCTTGGACCAATAGGATCCAATAGGAATCCTAACCAACAATAGTCATCCTTTTACTTTACTCAATTTGCTTGGCCGTATTTTGTCATTAAGTACTTCATCATCTGAAAATACTTATTCAATGCCTTATATGAAGCACTGAGGATATAAAGGCTTATGATATTAAGAGCTGCTAGATATTTGATCAGTAATTACTCAACCTAGCAAAATATTACATGTTTTTCAAAACTATTTTATCTTCCTAATACTCTATAATCTCACTTGTATGTGGAATTTAAAAAGCAGAACTCACTCATAGAAACAGAAAATAAAATGGTGGTTGCCTGGGGTTTGGTAAGAAAAATGGGGAGATGTTGGTCAAAGGATATAAATTTTCAGTTATAAGATGAATACATTTTGGAGATCTAATGTACAGCATGGTGCCTAGATTAACAATATTGTATAATATGCTTAAAAGTTACAATAGTTGTGGGGGGGGGGCAATGGTAAAATATGTACACATATAATAAATAAATAAATAAATAAATAAATAAATAAATAAATAAATGTTACAAGATAGAAAATCTTGTCCTGGTCAGTGTGGCTCAATTGGTTAGAACGTCATCCTATATGCAGGTTCCTGATCAAGGCATATATACAGGTTTTGGGTTGGGTACAGTAGGCAATTGATCTCTCTCTCCCCCCCTCCCTTGCTCCCTAAAATCAATAAAAACATCCTCAGTCCTAGCTGGTTTGGACTTGTGGATAGGAGTGTCAGCCTTCAGACCTAAGGGTTATTTCTAGTCAAGGGCACATGCCCGGGTTGTGGGCTCAATACCCAGTAGGGGGCGTGCAGAAACCAGCGGATCTATGATTGTCTCTCATTATCATCTATGTTTCTGTCTCTCCCTCCCACTCTGAAATTAATAAAAACATAATTATTTAGTCGAAACCGGTTTGGCTCAATGGATAGAGCTGTCGGCTTGGGAACTGAAAGGTTCTGGGTTCGATTCTGGTCAAGGGCATGTACCTTGGTTGCGGGCATATCCCCAGTAGGGGGTGTGCAAGAGGCAGCTGATAGATGACTCTCTCTCATTGATGTTTCTAACTCTATCTTTCTCCCTTCCTCTCTGTACAAAATCAATAAAATATATTTTAAATATATATATATATATATATATATATATATATATATATAATTAAATAATTAATTACAACATTCTCAATGATGATTTAAAAAAAAAGAGTTCTTGAAAAAAAAGAAAGAAAAAAAAAAGAGTTCTTACCACAGGGAAAAAGCTAAGTGAGTGAGGTGATGCATGTGTTAATTAACCTTATTTTTATAATCATTTTATAGTATATATGTGTACCAATCATCACAATGTATACTTTAAAATTACAGTATTGTATAACCATCTCAATAAAGCTGGAAAAATTAGTCTTTGTAAGAGGTATGTAAAGTATGTATTAACCAAATGAAGAGAAGGATGATTAACAAGAACAGACCCAAGACACGGAGGTATGGATCAAACTGTCAGACCTCAGAGGGAGTATAGGGGAGGGTGGGGATAAAGGGGAGAGATCAACCAAAGGACCTGTGTGCATACATATGAGCCTAACCAGTGGTCAAGGACAACAGGGGTGTGGGGGCATGCGTGGGAAGGGGTGCGGGATGGGAATGGGGTGATGAGGACAAATATCAATAAAGAAATCAATCAATAAAGAAATTAATCAATAAAGAAATCTAATTATTAAAAAAATGAAGAGAAGGTTGAGAGTCATGGGTTGGAAATTTGAACTTCTATCCAGCTGCCCCATAAGACTATGCTCTGTCCAAAACACTCCACATGCTGATTTTTGTGTGTCTTAAAAGCAAGGTAGTACATAGTGCTTAGCAAATGACAAGCATGGTTAGAGAAATCTCTTATTACAGATAATTGAGGTGAGCTTTAAGCTGGGTCTTATATGGCCAAAGAAGAGAAAAGAAAAATCCTTTTTCCTGGGCTTTTTTGAGCTGGAAGAGCAGTACACTGAGCAATCCTTATCATCACACCTTTATCATTGCTGTCTGAGGTTGAAGAAACACTTGGTTCCATTTGATGTTCATTAGGTTCCTCGCTTACTGGAACCAAGGTGAGTATCACATCTTCTTCTTCTAATTCATCCTGAAAGAAATCCTGAAAAGGGTCAGTTACCAATTTTTATTTGATGCATACAATTAAACTGCTTTCAAATCACAACTAATGAATACAAAACTGAGAAGATGATGGGGAAAAAATTACTGAGATTTCCTTAAATATGATGTTATTAGGAGGCCCTTTATTAATTTTAAAAAACAAACAAAATGAGAAAATGGGGAGAAACAGATTTACAAGTGATAAAGAGAAAATGGAAGGACCCTCGCTAGTTTTACTCAGTGGATAGAGCTTTGGCCCGTGGAAGGGGTCTGTAGAAGGGTCCTGGGTCCCAATACGACCATGTGACAGAGGCAACCAATTGCTGTGTCTCTCTCACATCGTTTCTTTCTCTCCCCCAACTTTACAACCACTAAAAATCAATGGAAAAATATCCTCAGGGAAGGATTAACAAAAGAGGAAATTGAAGGGGTTTGTGGAAACCATCCCTCGTGGTCTCCCTTTCCATCAACTAAAACACTAAATACTTTCATTTAATCTCCGAAATCCATATGAAATGGGTTGCTGCCTTCCCATCTTCCAGCACATGATTTTCAACTCAAGTTATCATTAACTTTTACTGGCAGATGCAAAAATCTAGTTATTAAAAATCCATTCTGCCAAAACCAGTTTGGCTCTGTGGATAGAGCGTTGGCCTGCGGACTGAGGGGTCCCAGGTTCGATTCCAGTCAGAGGCATGTGCCTTGGTTTCGGGCACATCCCCAGTGGGTGTGCAGGAGGCAGCTGATCGATGATTCTCTGTCATCAATGTTTCTAACTCTCTATCCCGCTCTCTTCCTCTCTGTAGTGTAGAGAATCACTGAAGTGTATTTGGGAAAAAAAAAAAAAAAATCCATTCTAACTCCACGCTTTTAGATTGCTTTCCTGCTTGCTTAAAATACTTCCATCGCTTATCATTGCTTTTTGAGTAAATGACAAAATTCTCTTATGTAGCTTACATGACACATTCCTAGACAGTGTGGCTCTGTCATTCCAGCTTAAGAGCTTTCTGAGCTCCAGCCATATGGGCTTATTTCAGCCTAGGGCCTGAGGAGAGAGAATGCATCTGTGTTACTCCCTCCGCTATCACATTAACTAACACAGTGCCCAGCACGGATTGGGCTTTAATGACCCAGTGACTGAAAGGTGAAGTGGACAGACAGGAAGTAACATTTACTGGTTTTGTACAGTAAACATGCACTATGCTAGATGCTTTCTGTATTTCCCTTATTTAATCCTTATAACATGCTTGTAGTCATTCATCAGCTTCCTTCTTTTACAAATTAGGCCACTAAATCTCAGAAATTAAAAGACCAATGCCACAGAGTAACACATGCTTGAGTAAATCTCTGAACTTAACTTTTCTCTCAAAACCACCCCAGCCCTAATGTAATACACTTTTCCCGCAGCAGCCAAGTGGCATCTGAAGCAGCCATCCCTATTTAAATAATCTCAATGACTTCCTGTAGCTCTCAAACTCCTAGCTTGCATATAGGGATTTTACATTTGTATACCACTTTTTCAAAGCACTTTCACACACAATTCAAAAAAGCATTGACATTATTGGAGAAGTATTACTCCACTCTAGAGATAAATGGGGGCTCAAAGCAGCTATATGGCCTGCCTATAATCATATATTTAATGTTGGCCAACTCAGTCCTCATCTAGCCTGGTACAGCAGCCCTGAAAATTCCCATGAAGCCTCAATTATATCCTCTCCTCCAGTCCAGAGTGACCCAAGCCTGGTCTGGAAACCCATTTGATACCAAATCCATTTTCTGGAAGAAACTAATCGGTCTTTTCAATTTGGCCTTATCCATGTTAATCTTTCCTGAATTTTTTGTACTGCAGCTCTCCTTCTCTTCCGTCTTTATCTTATTGACCTACAACATGCCTGCCTGCAAAGTACATCTCTTACTTTCTATTATACTATGAAGAAGAATCTTTGCTTTTCCTTTCTACTCTCGCCCGTATACAGAGCCACAATCACGTGAAAGAAAATAATCAACCACGAAGGGGACATTCCTAGACGAAGAAATGTCTTACATCCAGAAAATTAAGATTCGTGGCAAGAGAAAAACCTAAGTGAGCTCCAGAAAAGCGTTGAAAAGTGAACCTGCGGGAAAATTAATTTTATTTAAACCAAACTTACCTTTTCGCTTCTTGCGCTTGCCATTTCCAGGAACCCACTCAGAGGGCAATGCCAGCAGGGTTGAGGAAACGTGTAGTTGACTCTATTAAGCCACAGGGTTTCTAGCCCGATTTCTTTTTATAAGCAAATGTCTCCTCCGACTTCCTGTTTCTCAAAAGAGCTTTTCTTTCTCTTCCCAAGCCCCGCCCTCCCGCCTTTATCTGACTGGGTGATGTTTTTATCAGTTTTATCCCCTCTCTTATCTTATTAGGTGAGCTTGGAATTATTGGGTATTAGCATTCATGAATTTTTCTTTCTTTTTAAAAAATATATTTTATTGCGGAGACCAGTTTGGCTTAATGGATAGAGCGTCGGCTTGGGGACTGAAAGGTCCCGGGTTCGATTCCGATCAAGGGCTTGTATCTTGGTTGCGGGCATATCCCCAGTGGGGGATGTGCAAGAGGCAGCTGATCGATGTTTTCTCTCTCATCGATGTTTCTAGCTCTCTATCCCTTTTTCCTTCCTCTCTGTAAAAAATCAATATAATATACCAAGGTACATGCCCCTGACAGGAATTGAACCTGGGACCTTTCTGTCCGCAGGCTGATGCTCTATCCACTGAGCCAAACTGATTTCGGCCATAAATTTTCAAAAAGAGAGATTTTTACTTTTAAGAAATAAAGACTTGGGATAAAACTGAAAGTGAAAAACTCTTGAAGACAAGTTATGATTGAACAGAGTAATTTTAAACATTTCTCAGAGAATATTGATGATGGATTGAATGATGTTATTATGGAAGGAATAAAAAAAAGATTCAGAGGTATTTCGTAACTGATTTAGGCCCAGGGGTGTGTCACTCACTGGAAAATTAGATTTGAATTTAGGCTCTACAGCAGCGGTTCTCAACCAAGACCCATAGGTTGAGAACCGCTTCTGTAGAGCCTAAGGCCATCAGAAAACACATATTTATATTATGTTTAATTAACAGTAGCAAAATTACAGTTATGAAGTAGCAATGAAAATAATTTTATGGTTGGGGGTCACCACAACATGAGGGACTGTATTAAAGGGTCGAGGCATTAAAAAGATTGAAAACCACTGACCCTGAAGAAGCCACTCCAAGGAGCTAGAACCACTAAAGAAATTATTAGCAAACATTATGGCAGTTTTGTCATGCAGCGGTCTCATGGGGCGCTTTCTCTGCCCCAGGGAAAGTGGTTCATTCCATTAATCTCAGGACCCATGGAGCCCAGATCAGTTTAATTTCGTTTATATGTACTATATTCAAAATGTGGTCTGCACAAGGACTCAGCTTCAGTTTACTGAAAAAATGATTGGGAAAATAAATTATGAGACCATACCCCAGATCTTCAGGATGTGTGCTTCATCAAGCCTTCAAGGTAAAGAATTACTTTTTTAAAAAATTACTTAAAAGTCTAGAAGCATAGTCTTGATCAGGGTGTGACCAGTTTTGAATTAAGTAGATAATGGTTGGAATCCTGACTCCTTTCTTTCAGATTAGAAACTGAATTGACCCATGGAAATTCAACCAGAAAAGCACTCCACCTAGCTACTCAAGGTGGGGAGTGGCCTGGTGGGTGTTTCCTCAGTCGTTTAGAGAGGAACTAATGCTGGTAGCCTGAGCTGGTCCCAGTGCCTTAAACTAGTCAGAACTTCAAGTGGGAAAACTATTTTATTACCACTTTTTTCCTTCTTAGCATTTATTACAACATAATTATCTTATTTGTTTTCTTGTGGTTTGTTTGTGTGTTGGTTTTGGGGTGTTTTTTGTTTGTTTTTTGCTTTTTGAAACTGTTACATTATGGGAAAGTTCAAACACGTACAAAGCAGACAATAATGTCTTGAACCCTCTGTATGTATCATCCAGCATCAACAACTATTGAGTTCTAGCCAATCTCATTTCATCTCAAACACCTCCGATCCCCCTGGGTTAGTTTGAAGGAACTACGAGACCTCATGTCATTTTATTTATATGTTTGGGGACTGGAGACTTTCTCTAAGTATAATTACTGTTAGGCCTACAGGGCAATACAATCCTTAACGGCCTTTGGCAATCTTCCCACCACAAAACAAGACCAGGTAAAACTTGCTGGACAACAGGAATCAGGCCATACACAGAATGGAACCTGTCCTGAAGGCACCTGACTGCACACCTGCATTCCATCTGCATTCCAAGCCCGCCAGCTCAGCCCCTAACCCAACTGACCACCAGTTTCCTGCCAGAGACTGCATGTAAGGATGAAACTCCAGTTCCAGATGGCTGCCATCATTGACCCAGTGTCCCCTTGGCTCCGTGCTGTGCAGTCCTTCCCTTTGGACATCCCATCCCCCAACCCGTTTCTCTACATAAATTCAATTTTCTTTAATCATCATCTGAGATGGCTATTTAGCCTATTCAGGTGTGTTAATCCACCACAGTGCTAACCCACCACATTCACCTTTCAATTACCATATCTTTTTCATATCTAAAAATAATTTCATTATTGCCCTACTAGGTTTGGCTCAGCAGACAGAATCGAATGTGGACTGAAGGATCCGGGTTCAATTTTGATCAAGGGCACGTATACCTCAGTTGCAGGGTTCTCCTCAGCCTGGGCTCTGGTCAGGGCTCATTCAGGAGTCAACCAATAGATGTGTTTCTCTCACATGGATATTTCTCTGTCTTTCTCCTATCTTCTACTCTTTCAAAAAAATCAATGGAAAAATACCCTAAGGTGAGGATTAACTAAAAATAAATTACTTTTTGTTTAATCCTCACCCGAGGATATTTTTTTCCATTGATTTTTAGAGAGTGAAAAGGAGGTAGAGAGAGAAAGGAGAGGAGGGAGAGAAAGAGAGAGAAAGAGAAACACTGATGTGAGAGAGACACATTGATCAGTTGCCACCTGAATGTGCTCCTACTGGGTCAGAGATTGAACCTGAGACCTTTCAGTGCATAGACCAATGCTCTAACTATTGAGCTCACTGGCCAGTGCAATATCTAAAAATAATTATTAAATAATTATTTAATAAAATATTAAATAATTATTTAATATTATCAAACCATCCAGGCTGACAAATATGTAGTGGTATAGAAAAGTAAGAAGCTAAGAAAATTCTAGGACAAGTAGAATGGAGAAGATAAGAGAGATAGTTAAACACAGTTTGTATTCATCAAGAAAACCCTATCTTCCCTAAACCAAGGACACTTAAGAGTAAATAGTCTGCACGCTTCTCCCCAACCAGAGGTAAATAGCTTAAATCATCCTATTCCGGGAGACTGATAACAGAAATCCAATCAAGCCCCATTTGCCAACCACACCCAAGGACAAATTAAAAAAATAAATCTCGTTTTGGTATATCAGCATGAAGCTAATGAATATTTTATTAATTCGATCCCAAGACCTCCCTAAATGCCCAGCCTTAGAACCCCTGAAAATGGTGGTCCCAGAAACCTTTTATGCTGTGTCTAGCTGTGTCTCAATGCTGGCTATGCAGGTTTGCTACAGCTTCTTCCTGTCTTCCTCATTCCACCCAACCCCCTTTTGAGTAGAAGCCCCTATCAGCGCTGCTGCTAAAAGAAGTGGTGTAAATACTGATCACAGACTCACCTATCTCTCTTACCAGTCTATGACACTCTTGAGTTAACAAAGCCGTCTTCATTCTCTTCATTCTCAGCATAGTGCCTGGTTCAGAGAAAGCTCTTCATTAGGTGCAACAAATTTCTCTAACTTAAGTTTGGGGCTTCAGTATATATCTCAAAGCTCAAAAGCAGGATGTAAAGCTATTTTAAAGAAAAATAACCTAGGCCTGGCCGGTGTGGTTTGGTGGTTGAGCAACAACCCATAATCCAGGAGGACATGGTTAGATTCCCAGTCAGAGTACGTGCCTGAGTTGTGGTCCCAATCCCAGTGTGGAGCCTGCAGGAGGCAGCAGATCAATGATTCTCCCCATCACTGATGTTTCTATCTCTCTCTCTCTTTCTCCCTTCCTTTATGAAATTAATAAAAATATATTCTAAAAAATAATAATCTAGCTGAAACCGGTTTGGCTCAGTGGATGGAGCGTAGGCCTGCGGGCTGAAGGGTCCCAGGTTTGATTCCGGTCAAGGGCATGTTCCTTGGTTGTGGGCACATCCCCAGTAGGGGATGTGCAAGAGGCAGCTGATCAATGTTTCTGACTCTCTCTGTTCCTCTCTCTTCCTCTCTGTAAAAACTCAATAATAATCTAGGCTGTAGGGTATATTAAAAATTAAGAAAAATTGTTAATACTTGCATTTTAATCTTTATTTCAATAACAGAGTTCTGAAAGAAAAATGCATTACCTATTTCAAATATATTTTTATTTGCAAATGCATTGTATTTTCAAAATTCTTTGTAAAAATTAATTAGAAGCCGAAACCGGTTTGGCTCAGTAGATAGGACATCAGCCTGTGGACTGATAGGTCCCAGGTGTGGGCACATCCCCAATAGGGGTTGTGCAAGAGGCAGCTGGTTGATGTTTCTCATCGATGTTTCTAAGTCTCTATCCCTTTCTCTTCCTCTCTGTACAAAATCAATAAAATATGTATTTTTAAAAAAGAGTCTTAAAAATAATAATTAGAAGGGTAAATATTTATGGAGCATCAATACATAAGAGGTAAAAGGGAGTGTCTCTAGCTGGGAAATAAAACCCATAAGACAGCCGAAACCAGTTTGGCTCAGTGGGTAGAATGTCAGCCTGCGGATTGAAAGGTCTCAGGTTCCATTCTAGTCAAGGGCATGTACCTTGGTTGTGGGCACATCCCCAGTGGGGGATGTGCAGGAGGCAGCTGATCAGTGTTTCTCTCTCACTGATGTTTCTAACTCTCTCTCCCTTCTTCTCTGTAAAAAATCAATAAAATATATATTTTTTAAATCCATAAGGCAAAACCGGTTTGGCTCAGTGGATAGAGCGTCAGTCTGCAGACTGAAAGGTCCCAGGTTCGATTCCGGTCAAGGACAGGTACATTGCTTGTGGGCACATCCCTGGTAGGGGTTGTGCAGGAGGCAGCTGGTCAATGTTTCTCATCGATGTTTCTAGCTCTCTATTCTTCTCCCTTCCTCTCTGTGGAAAATCAATAAAAATATCAACAAAAAAAATCCACAAAAAAAAAAAAATCCATAAGACATCTGCA